AGCAGCAGCAGCAGCAGCAGCAACAGCAGTAACCAAACGTTGGGGGCATCAATGCCAAAGCGGTTTTATTTAGGTCATTGTGCGCCAAAAGGAGAATTCAGTGAAGGCAAACTGTCGATCATCAAATCTGAATTCTGCGTTCAATGAAGAAGGGACAATCGGTATTGCGTATTGTCTGTCAGAATACCATCGTCGCAGCTAAGGTTACTGTTTTTTTCCTCTAATTGTTTTTTTTCTCGTTTTTAGATTCGTTTTTTTTCTTTTTTCAACTTAACCTCTTTAATGCAAATGTATAATAAGAAATTATATAGCTGTGTTTCTTCTTCCCCAAATGAGGACTCTATGGATATAAAGATTGTGTAGCAAAATTGATAAAGCATTTTTAGAAATTATGTTGAGTGATCTGTTGAATATCTTACAAATTTTTGAGGACGCTGAAGTTTTTACAGCAGTTTTTTTTTAAATCTAAAATTGTTTCTTATCTTATGTCACATTGGTGCTACTGTTGTTGTTGTTTTTGTTGTCATCGTCATCGTCGTCGTCGTCGTTGTTGTTCATCCATCGACACCTGCAATAATTGTTTATTTCTGGCAGACCAGCTTGCTGACAACTTCTATACAATCGGATCAAACTGTAGCTGCAATGCATCTGGAACAGTTACACATAGAGTACAATTTCATGTCTCGAGAAACCGGCTTTTTTTTTTTTTTTTTTTTTTTTGTTCAACACATCATCAGCAATGATAACACTTTGATATTTGTGGCTTCTTAGACCAACAACAATAATAAATGCTTGTTGAAAGAAGAAGGAAAAAAAAAACACTAACATTTTTCCTTAATTTTTTTTTCTTCTAATAAACCAAACTGCAATGATTGTTTTTAGATAAATTCACTGGGGGAACACATATCGATAAAGATGAACTTTTATGTCATTTTAACCAAACATATTTTTGTACAGCAAATTTTTGTGTAAATTTGATTTTTTGAGCTGGAAAAATTTTTGTTGTTATGATTCACTACTGTAAAGTTTTCTGGGGAAAAAAAGAAAAAAGATTACTTTCTTAACAGCAAAGAAGAAAATGAAAATAATGAATTTTTTTCCCTTTCATCTCATCTTTTTCTTCAGTTTTTTCCTATTTTTTTGTCGCCTTTTTTTCCTTTTTTTACTTTTTTAAGTGTTATTTATCTGAAGAGTAGGTTCTCTAAAAAAAAAAAAAACTTTACCTTGTATTAAAACTAATGAGCCAAAAAAAGGTTGAAGTGTTCAAGTTTTTGTCTGGTATTTTTTCTCTTCTTATTCTGTTTTTTTTTTCTTTTTTTGTGGCTTTCTTAGACTTTTTTGACAGTCATCGTTTAAAATACGGTTTTTCATTCCTCAAAAAATTGAAAAAAAAGACTTAAATTTCAGTGAACAAATTTAGTGGGTAAAAAAATTGCAATAGCTTCCTTTCTCTTTTAATTTTCTGTTTTTGAAAACGTTTTATGGCAAAATTATCCCCATAATAATGCTTACCAGTTACCAGGAATATTCAGAGGCTTGAAAAAATTTGATTTATATTAATTTGCTGCTTCTCGGTTACTTACTTTATTACCTGCTGTACTGCTAATGATCGTTGCATATTGAACAAAAGGTTATTGCACAGCTCTGTTCTTTGATCATTGCCATCAATTCTAAATTTACCGGTCAATTGGATTTATTAAGTTCAGTTTTTTTTTGGCTGGAATATTGTCCGCTACCGTACACCATCGACAGGATACATATTTTGATGAAGCGTTATCTAACGGGATTCTGTTAACCTTTACAGCAGCTTGGTAAACAACAAAATTTGTAAGAAATGGAACGACTCCAATATTGGATGATGTGCTGTCCAAAAAAAAAGCTGAAATCTAGGTCTATTTACTGATAGAATACTACTAATGTGCAGCTTTTTTGTCCGGTAAACATCATCAGTCGTTTGGTAGCAGTATCCGCGTTGTCAATTTTTTTCTTGTTCTAAAACAGTTGGTCACAAAAGCTGAATGATGGAAATTGAATCGGATCGTTGCAGTGTGGTTTTGTTGAGGTTTATTGTCAATATTGTCGTCGCCGTCGTCGTCAACGCTGTCACCGTCGCAGTGGTCGGCGTCATTTATGGTTTTGTCGATTCCGTCCGAACAGTTTGACAGTATTGTGTTAAACCGTGTTAAGTATTTTCAAGGATTAAAAAATAACGTTAGAAAAAAAAACTTAGTTGTAACAGTCTAAAATACTACCAATCAGAATTTTTTTCTTACGACAATGTCAAAACTTAACAGTCAACAAAAAAAAAAAAAAAACTTCTCTTACCTATCTCTAAAATTTTTTTTCTAGTTTTTTTTTGTTGCACAAAAGTTACCGAAAAAAAAGAACTTATAAACACAGAAAAAGTTACTGCTGTATTATCTGAAAAGTCCTTCAGTATTGCACATACATAGACGGGTAAGATGAAACAAACGCATTACAGATT